ATATAAGTCTGTGTTCCCCATAATAAATTTGGCATTGCTTCCCGACCCTCAGCTGTGTCCTAGCCTTTTTGCAGTGCCCTGTCCCTTCCCTTCAACCCACGAGCTGTGGCACGCACCACTTGCCCTTTGTGGCTGAAGATGCTGAGGGCTGGAGTTTCTCTGTGACACCAGCGCTCCACCGCAGCCCCTGACACCTCGAAAGTGGCTTCTGAACCTTCACGTGTAGCCATCAGCTTCCTGGTATCCTGAGTGGCCTGTGAATCTCTCTTGGTACCAGAGAAGAGGTAGCACCATGTCCTTGCATGCTGCCAGTGGAAAAGGGACCAGGTTTGTGCACAGTGTCTGTGCAGGCTCCCTGTTGACAGCGCACAGAGCGCTCCAAAGATGCAGTTCACGGCCTTGCAGGATACTGAGGAGACACTTTCCCCTGGGGGGAGCTGCCCCTCTCCATGGACTATCTAAGGAGCTCCTGGCACAGCTTAGACCACAGCCCTAACTTTGACAGGCCCCAAGGCTGGGGAGAAGAATCCTACCCAGCTCTGCATTGGAGAGGGAAGGGCTGTGTCTGAAGGGCTGGCAGGCATTTCCTAAGGGCTGTTCCCTAAACCTTGGAAGACTAAGGAGAAGTCAGTTGAACAGATCAGAGAAGGGAAATGCTCCCTGCTTCTGTTGAGATATGTACATACCAACTCCAGAGTCATTTTGCAGGCCCTGACAGAAGAGCTTTCTGGCCATCAGGACTCCACAGCCCAGACGGAAAAGGTGGAGTGGCAGGAGAGGATGGATGGAGGGTTCAGTGTCCAGGAGCTCCTGTGAGTGTTAAGCTTTCTTGCTTTCTCTGGGCAGGGGTGGGCATTGCTGGGCTTTAGGAGGCCCTCTGTCAAAGAAGGAATTTTGCCGCCTCGTCGTTTGTAGCACAGACAGGAGAAGGGAGCACTTGGGCTTGGGCAAGTCCCATATCCAGTGTATCAAAAAGGAGAATAAGACCTAGCAGGCAGGAAGCTGTTCAGTTGAGAATACCTGAGCTTCCTGGAAAAGGAAGCTGATTTCTGGAAGCTTGTTTCCCTTTCTCAAGGACAATTGTTTCACCTGCATCAGGGACAAAGGGTGACACAGCTCTAGTCAGGGAATTCCACCATTCCTTCAGTGGAACTAGAAGGCTGTTGGAAGTCACTCCAGCTGCCATCTGTGGGACATAGGATGTAGTCTTGGTTTTGAAAAGGAGACTGTTTTGCTCTTAAAGACTTGTTTGTCTGTCCCATTCTCACAGACCAAAGCAGCTGGCGGTAGCTGAGAGAAAACCCTCCTTCTCAGAGCAGTAGCTGGCAGTGGAGGAATGGCAGCTCCAGAAGGATCTGCTGAAGGAGGAGAAAGCTGACCTTACCCAGGCACTGGCAAAGGTATGGTCACTTTCTTCCTCGGTGGCACTTGTGGGAGAGGGAGTTGCACTGGCAAGACCAGCCCAGATGCTGTTCCAGGCAGTAGAAGGCAGGGACAGGCTTGTTCTCCTTCTTGGAAAGAAGCAGGACCAGGCAGTGACCATTGCCCTGTACTTGGCACTGGTGAGCCCACGCCTCAAATCCTGTGTTCAGTTTTGGGCCCCTCACACCTAGAAAGACATTGAGGGGCTGCAGTGTGTCCAGAGAAGGGCAAGGGAGCTTGGGAAGGTTCTGAAGCACAAGTCTGATGAGGAGCAACTGAAGGAGCTGCGGGTGTTCAACCTGGAGTAAAGGAGGCTGAGGGAGGTCTTCAGCCAGACTTCCCTGAGTTTAGAAATGACCCTGCCAAGCCTCCCCTCATTGCATGCTGCTGCTTGACACACTGAAGGAGGTGACACCTTCCTCTTGGGCTTTTAGTTTTGGGTTTTGTTTTTTCCTGAGGAGGAGTATTCTGGTGTCGTCTCACTTCCTTCAGCAAGCAAAGTGGCTTTTGCTCAACCTTTCCTGAAAGTTTCCAGCACTAGAGTTTCAGTTTGTAAGGTGTCAGTTCTGGAAGTACTGTTGTAGGAAAACCTGTTGTTTGGGGGAGGAACATTTGTGGGAAAGGAGCTGTTCTGGTCCCAGGCAAGCCAGTAGGACCTTACACATCCCTTTGGAGTTAGCAGTGCCTGTGCCTTGTGGCAGCCCTGGGTATTAGCATATGCTGTGTCATGGGCATGGGAATTTAGCAGAAAATACCACCCCCCCCCTTGCATCCCAGCTGATCCTCAGGGATCAGAGGGGCTGGGTGTGGCTGGGCTTCATTTCTGATTATAGCCAATTAACACTGTTAAGACCAGATGGTCAAGTTCAACAGGAGAACTTGCACAAGCACAGATGCACAACTGGTGCAGTTACCAATCCGGTGCCATAGGTCTGATCACATTCCCTAAGCACTCATATGCTCCAGAGTCACCAATAGTGCTGTTTATTGAAGCAATAGGAATGCAAGTTCAGGATTGCCAGTGATAAATGGACTAACTACCTAAATGTTGGTGTCTGTCACGACAGAAAGTGCAGCAAGGGAGACCTAAGCACAAGACAGACAGACAGACAGACAGATAGATAGATAGATAGATAGATAAAATATCTGTACTCCTGGGTATGCTAGAATGCAACACTCCCTTCTCTCTTTAGTGAGCCTGCCTTTTAACACTTTTGCTTTTTCACAGGGAAGGGAGTGTGTCTATTGGCTGCTACAGAGGCGTGGTGCTCTTCTGTGCCTCACTGAAGCAACAGCGGTGCGTGAGACCTCTGCTTCACTCCAGACATCCCGCAGTTTTCAGGCCTTGCTGGGGCCAGGTGCAAGACAAGCAAGAGGCCCAGCTCCTCTTTCTCTCCTCCAGCCTCACCAGTGAGGTCTTCACTGTCTTAAAGCAACAGTGTACCATTCTGACCATTTACCAGAGTGTGCCATGCAGCAGATGCTCTGAAACTTTGAGCCCACAGATTCCAAAGTGGCAGGGTCTGGCTCCGCACAGAGCTCCCGAGGAAGGACTCCAACTGTAATTTGCCCTGCTTTCAGATTTGCCACCAGCCCGAGTCAGCTAGCAGGGGTCTGGAGCAGCTGCTCCAGGACTTCTCTTGCCAAGGGCACACCCTGGCCCAGGTGACCAGAGAGAAGAAGTTGCTGGTGCATGAGAGGGCTGCCCTAGAGGCCCAAGTGGCAGCCATGGAGCGGGACCTACAAGGCCTTTCAGAGCAGCTGGCAGAGGCCAGGTAAAGGCAGGAAGGAGACCTCCTGGTGGGAGGGACAGGACTGAAGGTCTGCAATTGTAAAGGTGGTAAGCACTACAGGAGCACTAATTGCATCCCGTGTACTCTGCAGATGCTTTTCACCTTCATGGACAATGGAAGAGTCTGGAGGAAAAAGTAAAGTAGACTGTGATTTGAATGTTACTTTTTGGGCAGCTTAAGCTGGCAGAGCTCTCCTGAGCCTTGGGCTGCCGTTTGTGAGCCCCTGCACATTCCTGTACCAAGTCCCACGAAAGCCAACTTGGCTCTGAATTGAATAGTAGGGAAACCATGCAGACTCTCACTGAATCCTGAAGTTTCCCTCTGGTTTTGGTTTCTTCTTCTGTGCTTCTGAACAGCAATCTTTCCTTGCCAGGTAGTTTGACATGGAATCTTCAGAATTCAAGGCCCTTACGTGCAAACACTGTGAGTGGGTCGCTGCCATTTAGGGTGAAGCTGGAGGGTCACGCTTGTGGTGGTATAAAAATGTGTAATTAATAAGGAAATCGTAGATTTTGCATATAAGTTTTTGTATTGTATTGTATTGTATGTATGTTCTGTCCGTTCATTGGTTGATATTTGACACAGTACCATATAAGGTTATGTTCAGCCCCTATCTTCTATGACTGGTTGTAATTTGCATGCTCCACCTAAACCCCACCTTCTGTTCTAGTGCCTTCCTTACCCATGTTATTTAAGGCTGAAGCCATTTTGTGTACTGCTCTTTTGTGCCCTTTTGTTCCTCCCTTTAAGCTGTTCAGTTGCCCCGCTACTTTTATAATAAAATCACCTTACCAGCTGCACCCAGAAAAGTTGTGGAGGTCTTTATTCCAGCACCAACCTTTGCAAATGGTGCCCCATGTGAGGAGCGACAGCTACAGTAGCAAGCAGCAGCAGCAGCTGGTAAGGTGCAGCAGATCTCAGTGAGCTGACTCTTCACATCTGAGAGCTTCACTACCACGCTTAGAGAGCCATTGCAGCTGGACGGCAGACCGGCTAAAGGACAAAAACACCGCACAGTAACGCCGGAGAGGTGAGCAAGCATTTTAATTACCCCTTTTACAACTAACATCAAGATGGGAGCTCACCCTTCAAGGGAGGAGACTGAGATGTATGGATATTTAAAGGACCTGATCAGAAATCATGGATATAAATTAAATAAAAGGTCTCTGAAAACACTTACTAGATGGATTTATAAAAATATGGACCCCGTTCCTGAACTAATCACCTATTTGGAGTGGGCACAGATTGGATCCTTACTAACAGTTGCAATGCATAATAGAGATCGCCATGCCATAAAAGCTGTTGATGTGTGGAAGACAATTTTTGCGATAATGAAACATATTATAAAATTGGAAGAACAAAATAAGAAAAATGTGAATGTGGAAAGCACACAAAATGGCGGATCAAAAGACAAGGGCAAAAAGGACGCGAAGTTAAATAATTCTTCACAAAATGGCGATGGGCCCTGGAGCGTGGGACGCCCTGACAGGAAAACAGATGACACGAAAGTCTGCGGCAGGAAATTAGGAACACCAAAGGGTGGCTCGGCTCATGGCGCGAAAAATTCTACTATGTTCCAAAATGGCACCTCCGTGGCAACCAACACCATAGTAACGGAGGCCCATGATGACATATGCGCCACGCCCACATCCAGTGACATTCTTAACATCCAAGATGACGGTGCCCAAGTAGCTTCTGGCTCTCAGAATGTAAACATCCACCAAAATGGCGCCGCCCAGGGGATGGTTGCCGGTAGCTCGAGGCCTGCAGTTAACATCCACGGATGGGCCTCAAATTCAGAACTAGCTTTCACCACATTTGGTAAGCAACACCCTTCAAAAGAAACAACCACTACTAATTCAGTAAAACCAACACCACTAATGGACACAGTAAAAAAAGAATTAAGATCGATCTTGATATTGGAAAGAGAAGGTCTAACACCAACTGCACTACAATTGCAATACAAAGCCATGACATATAAAGACCTGCCTGTCCAAGAACTAGGCTTTCAATCTGTATTACAATTGGTTGTGTCTATACCGGATGTGGTCCAAGTTTCTCAGTGCGAGAATGGTGATGTCACTCTCCGAGCTGTGACAGATGAGACAACGAAACATATTGCAGAACTTGTAGCCCGCCAAAAGAAGAAGAAGCACCGAACCCATCAAATCATCTCCAGCGAAAAAAAAGTAGTGTTTTCAGAAAAGCTTGAATTTTTGGAGTAATCATGAACATTCTAATTAACAACTAACTACCTCAAATTCTATCTACTGCTATTACTTCTTGTTTATGGGTGTATATGTTTTCTTTTTATAAGTGTATGTATTAATGGGTATCTTTTATTTAACCATATTTGTAATGCAATTGCTAAAACTCTTCCTAAATATCATAGTTCCTGGGAAACCAGTGAGTAGCTTAAGTGGTAGCAACCAGGGACAGATCCCTTTCCCCATTCATTAGTCTTTCAAGGTTGACGTCCCCTTCGGGCTGTGAAATGGAAACCAAAGGCGGAGCTGAGAAGTTGATTCCTGGTGCAGAGGAGTCGACCTCAGCTTGCGCAGGGTACAAGTACACCTCAGGAGGGAGGTGCTGCTCGCACAGTCCCCCCTGGTTGAACGGCGGGTACTGGGCCGCATGGCTGGCAGACCCACACGACCATGCTACTTTTGATATTTAGGAATAGGAAGTTATTTTCATATTTATGATTTTGTTGTAAAATTGAATGATAAGTATTTTCTTTGTTACTAATATGTTTGCTGAGTTTTATGTCCAAGGGTAAAAAGGCGATTGCAATGATGAAAAAGAAAAACATCTAGAAGAAGAAAAGGAAAGCTTCTATAACAAAAGGAAAAGAAGGTGAAGGATCATTAATAAGAAAAAGAAAGCTACATGGCCAACAAAAAATAGACAAACTCTAAAAATACATGCATATCTCTCTATATATGTATATTAATTAATGGTTTTATATGTTGTTTTATATATTCTACTTGTTTGTAATGATATGATGTTTTGTTATTAACATATATGTATTAAGTTTCTTAATTTATTTTTTATAACAATTACCGTAGAGACTTGAACACCTGAAAGCCTTACCTCAAGAACACAACACCCCTATCTGCAAATAAAAATAAGAGGGGGAATAGAGGTGATGAGTATAAGCAATGTTTAACCCAATAACGTTTACAAAAAATTTTTGATTATGTTTAACAGTTATTAAGTTCACTATAAGCACATATTTTTTTTATATTCAGTTCACAAAATGTAATTTATATATATGATTTATGTATAATCAGTTAAAACCCTATGATTTCAAAAGTGTGATTGTGTGTATGGAAGAAGGCCTCCATGACTGTTGTGAGAGAATGAAGATGAATGCATGGATGCAGGAAATCAACAAATTATAAGATAGAAACTTTTACAACATCTAAGATAGATATAGTCATAAAATCTGAAAAATAGGCCTAATGTCAAGAAACTGTCCATTAAGATACTAGGTTCCTTTTAACTCCCAGGTTGAATACGTGTTAACTAAATAGTTCATGGTATATTATGGTCTGAAGCAGAAGCCATAGAAAGTATAAAAAGGTCATGAAAAACTAAAAATGAAATAGAAAGATTGAAGAATGGTTTACAGGATAATGGTCTGTAGGATGTGGTCATGAATAAAGGATTAGCTCATTGGTGTAAATTCCACCGTGAGGTGAGAAGGATATATGAAAAGAATGTGAAAAGAAGGCTCATGTAAGTTGATTGTTGGTATAGAAGGGAAAATGATTGGCAAGGAGTGGATCTAAAAGAAGAAGAAGAAGTTATAAAGGGATTCAAAGAGGAAGGAAGAAGAGGTGTCCCCATATCCAGTAGAAATAGAGAATGGTGAACACAGAAAGAAAATTGGTAAGAAACCCACTTTGGTAATAACGCAGAAGCTGTATATGGATGAATGGAGTGAGATAAAAGTTCTACTTCTTTAGACCTTCGTTATATCTTATAAAAGTTTATTGAGTCAATTATAAGGTTACATCAGCTGACTTTATCAATTGTTAGAATATTCATAATTATATCATCTAGCTTTCCTGGATTTTTTACAATGTTCATATACTCTTCCCTTTATTCCAATCAAAGTTAATAAAGCCCTAACAATCCCCCTCCTTTGCTATCCCGCACATACTATAACCCAGTTGAAATAAAGTTTGTAAGGTCAAGTGCTGGGGTGTTGTAGACATTTCAAAGCCAATTTTTCAAATTTATAAAACAAAAAAGGGGGATATGTGGTGGTATAAAAATGTGTAATTAATAAGGAAATCGTAGATTTTGCATATAAATTTTTGTATTGTATTGTATTGTATGTATGTTCTGTCCGTTCATTGGTTGATATTTGACACAGTACCATATAAGGTTATGTTCAGCCCCTATCTTCTATGATTGGTTGTAATTTGCATGCTCCACCTAAACCCCACCTTCTGTTCTAGTGCCTTCCTTACCCATGTTATTTAAGGCTGAAGCCATTTTGTGTACTGCTCTTTTGTGCCCTTTTGTTCCTCCCTTTAAGCTGTTCAGTTGCCCCGCTACTTTTATAATAAAATCACCTTACCAGCTGCACCCAGAAAAGTTGTGGAGGTCTTTATTCCAGCGCGATCTCCGGACAGGCTGAAAATCTTGAGGGCCTTCTGAGCTAACTCTTGTGAAGCATGTGCAGGACCTAGAGTTGGTTACAGTAGCAGCAGCAGCAGGGAAAGGTCTTTTGACTTCTCAACAGTGTCTGGGCATTCTGGCTCACCATTCATGTCCACCCACCTCTCTAAACTGCCAAGTTCCTTTGGGTGATCCCTCTTCCTCTTTAAACAGAGCCAAGTCATTTGGGCTCCCATCTGCTTAGGGAACCATAAGTAAAGGTAGCAAGTTTTTCTGGTACCTTCCACTGAGTTAAACTGCAGGACCTTGAGCCACAACTGACTGGAAAACCTCCCACGGTGGGTGTCAGGAGCAAGAAAGTGATTTCTCTTCATCTCCACAATTTGTAGGTCTGCGAAGGAGAGCGTGCAATGCAGCCTCTTTGAGGCTCAGCAGCACGTTTCTCAGCTGGAGATGGTCAGGAGTCGCCTGCAACTCCAAGTTCACACAGTCACGCAGGCCAAGGAGGTGATACAAGGTGAGAGCCTTTGTTTCTGGTGATCCCCCTGCCCAGAGAAGTTGCTATGAAACCAGCTCTGTCCACTGAGCCCCTGGGGAGAGAAGGAGCTGGGGGCAGGTCCTTCCCAGACTGAAAATGAAAGGGCTTGAGGTCAGTAAAGTCCTACTGCTTGTGTAGACTCTGAATCTTACCCTTTGTCGTGTTTGCAGGGGATGTCAAGTGCCTTCGGCGTGACCTGGAAGCACAGAGATCCCTCATGAAGTGGGAACGGGAAGAGGTGGCACAACAGCTGCAGTGGACAGAACAGCAGTGCAGCCAAATGCTCAGGCTTTGGGAATGTGCTCAGGAAGAGGAAAAAAGAAAGCTCCTGCAAAACCTGGTAGGAATCAATACACCTCTGAATGTCTCAGGCAAGCTTTGTGACTGCCCGTAGCAGAATAACTGCATGAAAGGGCAGCACTCCTCTGCCATAGGCCAGACCTTGCTGGGCAAGACAACAGAGCCAAGGGCTCGTGCTGGAAGGCCCATGAAGACCCAGAGGACTGTGCTGGGAGAGTAAATGCAGCCACTGATTGAGTGAGGAGCATAAGACGAGTTCCCCAGAAGGCTGCTGATCCCTACCCAAAGCATGGCAGCAAAGGGCAGGATCTTCCCGACTCTCCCCTGCCATGAAGCAGGTTGCTAACGTTGCTGCCAAGTGCAGTCACAGGAACTGGCTTCCTTTCTTTCTGTCCTTCCACCATGGACAGAGAAGTTACCTTTGGTCTTGAAGCCTATGGAACAGGCTCCTTATTCCTGGTCCTTCAGTTGGTGGCCTGTGACTAGGGCATTGGGGTACTGGCCTCCTCCTGGCCCTGGAGTCCGTCTGCAGCTTGTCCTGCATGAAAAGGCCTGTGAACTTTGACTACAGAGCCTCTGAGAATAAGGAGGAATCCTGAGGAGAGAGGTGCCAGGAAAGGGGCAGCCACAAGAGAGGGGAAGGGGACCTCTCCACTCTTCCCCCTGCTGAGCCTCCTTTTCAGTTCCTTGCTCAGACAGGATTTCTGGAGGGCACAAAGGCACTGTTGGGCACTGTTCAGGTCAGGGGTTGTGGGAGGGATGAAGCTGCCCTTTCTTTATTCGAGGAGCTTGGCTGGGGCTTCACGTCCAAGTGTCTTCCTCCCCTCATCAGGCAAGTGAGCTGGAAGGCCAGCGTTTGGAGACACAGGAGCTGCTGAAGCAACAGCAAAACCTTATGGCAGAGGTAGAAAGGGAGCACGAGAGAACGCTCTTTGAGATGATGCAGGAAGCTGCCACTGTGAAAGCTGAACAAGAAAAGGTAGGAGGCAGAGCCAAGCAAGAGGGCAAGACTGTGAAAGGAGGCTTTGTGTGGTGCTTTTGAATCTTCTGGGCTCCCTCGGGTTAGTGCTTCTCTGGACACCGCCCATCTGGGTAGAATTGTCTCTCAGATGCCCCTTTGTAGACAGGAGTGATGCTTTAGCAACCATGGGAGCTTGGGCCATGAGGGACAGGGCCTCTCATGTGAGAGGCTCCCAGAGCATAGATTGAAGGAAGGCAGGGACAGCGTTGCAGGCCTGAAGAGAACACAAAGCCCAGAACTGTCTCTTCTTGCACAAGAGGAGGGACAGGCTGGCCAGCAAGGCTATCAGACACTTCAGCAATGCCACCCATTTCCTCTTAGCTGCCTAAGAGCTGGCTGGAGTTTCAGTCATGGCTGGACCATGTTCATACGGCCTGTCTGACTTAGGAGTCTGTGCCTCCCAGTGGGCAGAGGATGTCCCAGGAGAGCAGCAGCCCAGTGCTTTGGGAATGCATGAGCCTATCAGTCTTTGAGGCTTGCCACACAAACGTGTGTGAAGTTTAAATCCATCGTGTCTTCCCTTCTGTGCAGCTCCTGCAAGAAGTCGAGCGTGAGAAGACTGCACTGTTGGAGAGGCTCTGCCAGACTCAGGTAGAGCTGCTCCAAACCCAGCAGCAGCTAGGGCAGCTCAGGCAGCAGGTGAAAGAGGAGAGAGAAAATGGGCAGGTAAGCCTGAGTAGCCCACTGGCAGAGGGGAGGGCCTGCAAGGTAGACCTGAGGACTGAGGAGGGAAGGACTACAGCAGGCCCTGAAAGCACAGAGCCCTGCAGGCTCCAGAGATGAGCCCCAGGAAGGAAGGCTTAGGCTGGAAGCAGAGCTGGGTGCAGAAGCAGAGCCAAGTGGCTGAATGAATGGGATTTTGAGCTTGCCAGAGGGAAAACCCGAGTGTGACGGCAGGTCCCAGGAACTTTCTCTCCCTTTGTGTTTGCAGAACATCAAGGAAAAGCTGGAAGCAGAGCTGCAGGAAGCTCAGAGTCAGATGAAGGCAGTGGAGAGGAGGCGAAAGGAAGAAATGGCAAGACTGCAAGATGAAATCAGTCTCCTGCTTCAGCACAGGGAGGCTCTACAAAAGCAGGGGAGTGAAACAGCGGTAGGCACCGCAGTCACGCAACAGGTGCTCTCTGCCCTTCTTGCCTTTCCATTGCAGAGCAGCAGGCTGCTGGGGGTAATCCCTCTGACTGCCATCCTGCTGTGGTCTGCGTTGCAGCTGCTCTGGAGGAGACTTACTGGGCCGCTGACTCTCAGCTGCCACCCAGGACAGCAGGGCTAGTCCTCTGGCCGCTTGGCCAGCAATCATCCCCATGCATTTGTGCTGGCCTGTGACTGCCAGCCTAGTTTTCTGAGGTGTTTGTTCAGCTGAACACGGGACCCAGACAGATTTGGGAACAAGTTGACCTTATCCATTGTGTGTCTTGTCCTCATTCAGCGTGGGGTGAACTTTCAAGCTGTTCTTTCCCTTTCCTCATCGTCTCTGATATGGCTGACAGTGACAAGCTGTAGTCTCGGACTGCTTTGCTCTGTTTGCCTGGAGGTGGCAGAGTGGACATGTCAGCTCGCAACCTCACACCAATGTTGTGTGGCAAGTTGAAAGCCATCTCCTCCACCTTTCTCTGCAGGTCCTGCAAGAAAAGGCACGCGAGAAGACAACTCTCTTGGAGAAGCTGTGCCGGACTCAGGTAGAGCTGCTCCAAACCCAGCAGCAGCTAGAGCAGCGCAGGCAGGAGGCAAGAGAGGAGCGAGAGAATGGGCAGGTAAGCCTGAGTAGCTCGCTGACAGAGGGAGGGCAGTAACATCTGCAATGCAGATGTTGGGAATGAGGCAGGAAGGACCACTGCAGGCAAGTCCCAGCAGGTGATGGGTGTCAAAGCTGAGCAAGACCTGTGTGAGGCACAGGAACTGTCAAGGCAGAAGGTGCTGCAGGCTGAACACTTGCCTAAGATTTGAAGGAACAGAGGAGACAATGGGAGGAGATAGAACATCATAACAGGGAGCTGCAAGGGTGTCTGCAGTCTTTGGAGGGTGACGGGAGTAGTTGGGACGAAGTGGAGCGGTCATTGTTGCAGTCATTTCTCAGAAAATCTGTGAAAATGTTTAATGAATCAGTTTAAGAGTTCTGGAGGCGACATCTTTGTGAAGCCTTACATTTGAAATGTGATCTCTGGGGGATCTCTGCCAGCCACCTTTCTGACACAAACCAATTGCTTGTTCCAGATCTACAGAGGCGAACCTGCCAGCAAACCAGTGGCTGCAGCAGCCCCCTCTAACGAAGCCTCCACTCCCCAGCCTGAGAACTCGAGCCCCAGCAGTTCATCCAGCTCACACCTGGACACAGAGCAGCTGCGAGAGCTAAGAGAGGAGGAGTCCCTGAAGCTGCTGAGTACATCTTGTGTATTTCTTGTCTGCTAGAGCAGCATGCTGTGTGGATGTCTCAGCATAAGCTGTGCCACATGTTCCTCCTCACTGTGCTGTCACAGAGGGGCTGCCTTTTGGATCTGCTGGAAACTGCTATCTCTGCTATGAAGTGAGCATGTTGCATTTTGCTTCTTTCAGGGAGCACTGTGAGTGTGGAAGATCCACTGAAGAAATACACTGAATGGGAAAACATTGGCAAAGGGTGAGTGCGACCACACTTCCTTCAACAAAACCAGGGGCCAGGTGTTTTGCTGGTACCACATTCAAGCGGGAAGTCAGGCAAGCTCCCAGTGTGTTCAGACACGGGGCTCAGAGTCTCCTGTCTCTCAGTGCTGATCAGAATTTCTTTGCTGCTCTTCTGTTTCTAGGGGTTTCGGCACCGTGTACAGAGCATTCGATGCTGTCACGGGAGGAGAGGTTAAGTGCCAACAACCCCGCAGCTTTTGCAGCTCTCGAGTGCTCTCCTCTGTGGCTGGAGCTCTGGGTCACCGCTCTTTGCTGCACAGGCTGTTCCCCTGAAGCCCAGGCTAGAGGCAGCCTGCAAAATGCATCTGGGGCAGACTTTGTCCTTCTTCACTACCTGAAAGAATGCAAGGAGGGCAGCGTTATCTTTCAGAGAAGGACACGCTAGCGTGGTCTCAGTTGATAAATGGGCATTAACTGGCTGACGGCGACTGCCCTCATTCAGGCCCAATTTCTCTTCATCCCAGGTTCAGACACAGAGAGGATTTAGCGTTTTTTCCACCAGGGCTTTCATATTGAAAATCTAATGCAAAAGCCAATCAAGGAGAGACCACGTTTGCAACACAGCTTTGTGGTTCAGTCCTAGTGAAGCTAGTTGGCACACACATTGACCAATGAGAACGTGTTTACCAAGAGCAAAGATCTCTCCTGAGCAGTACCATCCTGGTTTGGTCTGGTGTCCAGGACAGCCCATTACAGAGATGCTATTTGTAATAAGCAGACACGGTAGTGTCTTAGAGAGTCCCACTGCTCTTTGGGGGTCCAGCTCCACGTTCCTGAATTCTCATTTCTGGCTGTCAGCAAAGACATCAGAATCTTCCTGCTACTTCCTTATCCACCTGCACTGCTGCGCTTGGGAACTGTGCTTTGAGAGAGGTGCTCAAGGAGTCTAAAAGCACTAAGCCCCTCTTATCACCTAGGCCGTATCCAATTGCAAATCTCAACCATTTGCTCTGTAATAGGATTGCTTTCCTGCACAACTGAGAATAGCAGCAGTTTGTGAAATACACATCAGACCCCCTAGAAAGGCTAAGGGATTACCAGCTGTTTGGATACACTTTCACAAGAGCATCATTGCTTCTCCTGCAAGAGACGTCTCAAGGTCATGGTTTTCAACGTCATTTTAGGTGGCCATCAAGCTAGTCAATCTCCATCAACAGAGAAAAGAGGAACTCCTGAAAGAAATCCTGGTCTTGAGGGAGAAGAACCACCCCAATATTGTTACCTATGTAGACAGGTAAGCAGTTCTGGTGTTACCACGGGAATGTTCATTTACAGGCTTTCAAGGCAAAGGTAAAACGCCCTTGACTCCCTGGCAGAAAATGGATCTTTTCATTACTATTAATCTACTTGGATAGCATGTATGGGAGGAGATTACATTTTGTCTGCATTAGTGCTTCCTGGCAGACACAGTTGGAAGACTGTTTTCCAAAACCTGGATCTCTTACTAAACCAACAGCCTCTACGTTCTCTCCCTCCATCTTTTCTCAAAGGGTTGACCAAATTCTGTCCTCAGTGCTGCACCCCCTCCTTGCCTGGATAAAAGTTGTGAAAATTGTGTCTCCTTGCTGCTGGAATGAAGGGTGGAATTCATGTGTTAAGAGGATGAACCAAATGATGGGATGTGTCCCAGTTCTAGGTTCATCTTTGCTGTTACTAAACGTCTTTTTGCCTTTGCTTGCCACCTTAGCCAGCTTCTTTTTTCATGGAGACTGCAAGCTCTGTACAGCCCAGGCAGAATGTCTCTTTCTTTTAGTCTGTCTTCTGTTGGGGATGAAGAGGAAAAAAGCAGAGAGGAGTGGGAGAGATACCAAGCTTGGAGGAAAATATATG